TCATTGTAGCTAGGAACCATCTAATTTTTCTAGGCTCAGGTCATGGAGACTGATTTTCTCATTGTCCATTGGACTGTTTCCATGAATTTCTTCTTTCCTTTAGATGGGGTTATGAGACCAATAGTTGCACTTTAATGGTTTTTTTAAGACCTCTGTTGTTACTCACTAAAAAGGTATACTCCTGTTTCTTCATTTTACCAGGAATTCCTGTAGGCATTACCTTTCATTTTATTGAATTTGAAAATCTTCTAAAAAAAAAAAAAAAAGCTATCATTAGTACCGGTATTTGTGTGGTCAGTAAATTAATCTTTGCTATTGCCTTTCTATGTTTTAAGATATTTACCATGGGTTCAGTTTTACACTATCTAAGCTTCACATTAAAAATTCAGAACTCACAGGGATTTAACAAACAAAACATTTAGTCATGCAAACTAAATTTCAGAGACAAAATCTTCTACAACCATCCTGCTAATATATGTGTTGTTGTTAAGTGCCGTTGAGTCAGTTTTGACTCATAGTGACCTGGTATAGGGTTTCTGGGGAGCTTGAACCCCACCAACCTTGCAGTCCAGTGCGTTAACCCATAGTGCCACACAAGGACTCCTCTGATTATATATATATATATAATTTTATCTGAAATAATCTTGAAATATTATTCAGGTAAAATTTAGAATATACATCAAGATTATCTTGCCTTTTTCTTTTAGACTCAATGGTGGCATGACCTGATTTAGTCAGCCAGTGAAATAAACCAATTAGTCAAGTTTGACAAGAAGTGGCCAGTTCAGTATAACCCTAAATATAATCAGCCAACTGCAACATCTCTGGTTTCAGCCAGATACAATATTTGGATTTGAGAGTTAAAGACAGCAGCATTCACCACTCCATTGACGGGAACTGTCTGACCTTCACACCCTGCTTGCTTCTCTTCTAGAGGAAAGAATAATAATCTAATGTTGCTATTAATAATATTATTATAACAATAATAATAGTAACTACAATTTATTGAGTATCCACTATATTTTAATCACTCTGTTCTATGTTATTGAATTTACATATCTGCCCCAGAGCTAATTATAATTAACCCAGCTGATAGACTAAAACAATAGCATATAATAAAAATATCAAAGAATCAAAGATGAGCTTTGGCTCAATTTGTGAAAATGATTTTAAAATGTGTTAGTAATCTAAACTGTAGACTGGATTAAACTTCCAAACATAATGTTTTCTATCTAGCAGACAATTAAAAATAAGCATCAGGACTGGAGGAATAATCATTAACAACATATGATATGCAGATAACACAATCTTGCTAAAAGCAAAGGGAACTTAAAATACTTACTAATGGAAGATCAAAGACTATTATAGCTTTTAGTATGGATTGTACTTCAATGTAAAGAAGGCAATAATCTCACAAAGGGCCCAACAGATGACATTATGATAAATGGAGGAAAGATTGAAGTTGTCAAAAGACTTCATTTTGTTTGAATTCACATTCAACACTCATGGAAGCAGCAGTCAAAAATCCAAACGATTTATTATGTTAGGCAAATTTGCTGCAAAAGACCTCTTTAAAATGTTCAAGAACTAAGATGTTACTTTGAGAACTAAGGTGCATCTGATCTAAACTGTCATATTTTCAGTCACCTCATATGTATGTGATAGTTGGACGCTGAGTAAGGAAGACCAGAGAAGAATCAATGCCTTATGGTGTTGATGGGAATACCCATGGACTGCCAGAAGAACAAACAAATCTACCTTGAAAGAAGCGTAGTCAGGTTGCTCCTTAGAAGTGAGGATGGAGAGACTTCATGTCTCATACTTCGGCCATGGTGTCAGGAGGTATTAGTCCCTGGAGAAGGACATCATGCTTGGTAAAGAGGTGTTTCAGCAAAACGAGGAAGACCCCCAACAAGAAGGATTGACACAGTGGCAGCAACAGTGGGCTGAAACATAACAACTATTGTGAAGATGGTACAGAACCAGCTGGTGTTTTGTTCTGTTGTGCAGAGAGTTGCTAAGATTCAACTGCACCTTATAACAATAGCAAAAGAAGTCATCTCTTCACAGTGGAAAGAATGACTATTTCAACATGATTGTTTGAATTTTTCAAAGATACTGAATTATGTTTCAAAAAAATGAAATACACATTCAGATATTTTGCCATAATAACAATAGCAACACAAATACTAAAAATAGTGTAATCATAGTGTGTAAGTGACTATAGCTCTATGGTAGAATCCTCAAAGTATTTTTCCAGTTTGAGATTTGTATTCATGGTTTGGATATCATTTTTCTAAAATTAGTTCCCAGAAAAATGTCTTAATACACAACTTTTTTCTTTTCTTCTGTTACTGAAAATGTGTGTGCAATAGCTTCCCTCTTCCCACACAACCCCTTCACCCACACCTTCTTGGAGTGGAAAATAAAAGGGGAGAAGGGGAGCAGAGAAGTGGGAAGAAAAATCTATTTTCCTTATATAGCTACCAAGGGAGAATAGGAAGTAGTATATGTAAAAGAGACATTTTCCCCTCAGATAAAACAACTTTCCTCATCTCTCACCCTAAAAAGACAAATGAGTTTACCATTGGGTTCCCATTGACCACATTTTCCTGTACCAGTATTGTTCATCATCTCGAGGAAGCATAACTTTTAGTTGGCAATTCTTTATATTCCCCTTTCTTTTACATCTACTAATTTTTGTCTTTTCAACATAGGGAAAGATCAAACAAAGAGAATTTACAAAGACTTTGTCTTAGAAAAGTAAAAATTCAGTAAATTAAAATAGACAAACATGAGAACTTCATTATTGTTTTTGAAAATAATACCTTTATATAATTAATGTTGTTGTTGTTAAGTACAAGCTAGTCAGTTCTGACTCATAGCAACCCTGTGTATGGTTCCCAAGGAACAGCTGGTGAATTTGAACCACTGACCTTGCAATTCTACACCACACCAGGATTCCATATAATTTATATACATGTCCAAAAGCCATTAAAAAAAGGTGTTTTTTTTTTAAGGATTTTGAACAAACATTTATTTATTAACTTTTAAATTGATTTTCTTATACATCCAATATAGAGCTTCTTCATTATTATCTGAGCCCTTCACACTTTTCAGTTAGTTTACTTATTCTTTGTTAATATTGTGAATATGATGCTGGTATTCAGACATCATTACTGATATGAATAACAATAAGCAAAGTCATTAGTGAAAGGACATGAGCTGTATAGGATACTGTGAAGCTATTAAATGCCACAATATTAATTTTATTTTGTTAAATAAAATAAGCATGGATATTTTATTTTCTTAAAACAGTTTTGTATTTGTAAACAAATTGAAAAATATACATTGAGACAGTCAAGCTTTCCAAAAAGATTTGACTGTTTTTAGTTTCTAATTACCTAAAATTTAGTAAACTTTATGCATCTCAAGTATAAATCAGATTTTTGTTCTTAAGTGTTGTTAAGTTTTGACACGTATCAATCCTGTATAGGGTTTCAAATAGCAACTGGTGGGTTTGAACTGCTGACCTTACATTTACCAGTCCAGTACTTAACCTACAGAGCCGTACCAGGGCAATTTAGATTATTAAATCAACTTAAAAGTACTGATTCATAGTTTATCTCTGGTATTTCTATTATGAAAGATTATTTTGACAAAAAGGTTTTTGAAAGCAGATAATTATTGAATAACAGGAGATTTTTAAAAGCAAGATAATAAAACATTATTTTTTCTGGAAGCCTAAATGAACTCAATTACTAAAATAAAGTATTTACTTATGTTGTTATAACACCAACTCATAGCGACCCTCTGTAGGATCTCAGAGGAGTCCTGGTGTGGCACTGTAGGATACGTACTGGAGCAAAAAGGCCAGTTTGAACCTCAAGGTAGGTGGTTCAAACTCACCAGTGCTCTTCAGCAACCCTACAGGCTCATCATGCATCAGAAGTGACTCAAAAGCACTTAGCTATAACAATAGGGTTTCCAAAGAATAGCTAGAGGGTTTGAACCATGGATTTGGGGGTTAGTAGTCTAATAGTTACCTACAGCACCACTGTAGGGTTAAGAAGTCTTAAGTCATAAATATTTTATAAATATACCACATACCTTTAGTAAGAACTGCTAAATATGAGACATCTTTCTAATCTGATTTCATTGATTCAGAATTTAATAATGGACCAAGTTCAATGAATAAAGTATTTCTCCACAGAGAATGCCTATGATTCAATTTCCCATTCTAATAGGACTCTCAGTCTTGTCTCCTCTTATACAACTTAGTTTCAGTTTTATTCATTTGTTTTTTCTTTTATTTTCTTATTATCTGCCTGGTGATTTAACTTCAGGACATTAAGCTTTTTTTAAAAAAAAAGTTCAGTTCTGTTTTCTTTCTAGATAGTTAAATCAAGCCAGAGACTCTTTGACTTTGCAAATCTAATTACTTAAAAAAGTTTTGGTGTTTTGTGTAAGAATTTCTAAAAGCTATTCAATGGAAAGCCACAGAATAACAATAAGGACATATTTTCAGTGTTTTAAGTCACTATAGATAGCTGTTGTGTTTGTCTCCCTCTAAAAAATTTCTTAGTGTCCTTTTAAAAATAAATTGTTGCCTATTAAAATTATGTAAGAATGTTTTTAGAAATTTTACAGGAATGTAGTCAAAATGGGTGTCAACTGTAAGGACAACACTATCAGATCATTTTGCCCCTTGATGTTCTAGAAGAGGTACACCAAAAATCAAGAATAACAAAAATAAATAAAATATAAAAAAGTATTTCGTTAAAAATTGCTCTCCACCTTTGTCACTTTCTAAATCACCTCAAAATCAAGTATTACCTTTCTGATTCTCAGGAAATGTAATATTTATATTTGTTTAGAGACAATGACCACATACTTAGATATGTTTGGAGCCCATTTGGTTACTAAAGGTACTGGTACTGACATTCTTATTCACATATTTCAATCTTTTTATTTATTTATTTTTCTCTTTTTTTTTGCAGTCTTACTAAAGGGAGGAAAAAAGGAGGAAGAGAAACCATTTAGAGACTGTGCAGATGTATATCAAGCTGGTTTTAATAAAAGTGGAATCTACACTATTTATATTAATAATATGCCAGAACCCAAAAAGGTAAAACCAGAAGTGTTTGTTTATGAGATGTAAAGCAGATCCTAGTTGAATTGCTGAAAAATTCAGATTGATTTGTAAGCTTGTTAAACTAGAAATATATACTCCAGAGGACTTTACTCCCCACAATACTCTGTTTCCCTAGTCTATAATAGGTGAAAACCCTCTTACATAGACGTCTCCAGCCATCTTTCATACACACAGTTTTCAAAATGTGTTCTCTGCTCATTCCTGGGATGTCCCATTGCTTGTAAGTGCTTGTCATGTACAGGATACATGTCCAGGTTATAGGAGCTACCTGTAAAAGTTCTGAGAATCCAGAGAGCCTACATCCTCCAGAACCTGAATACTGTAGAGAACGAGCAGAAGCCACCAGCCAACCCAAACCAAATATATTTCCAGCCAGTCAATTTCAACTCACGGTGACCTGAAAGCACAGGGTAGAACTGCCCCACAGGGTTTCTGAGACCGTACAGCCTGATGGGAGAATACTGCCCCATCTTTTTCCCATGGAGGTACAGTTGGATTGGAATCATTCACCTTTCTGTTAGCAACTTAGTTCTTAGCTACTGCATCACCAGCGTTCCTTCTAATCCTATGCGAGTAGGAAAACTACATCCTATCCTCCCTCACACATAATCTCCAGAGAATTTTATTTTCATATTTACATGGAGTATCAGTCATCAGAATCTTGAACAGGAGCCAATGTCAAATTACAAGTAACAAACATTATCTTCCTTCTGTCACCTCTTCTTTCTATACTCTTCCCATTCATTCATCAGTCACTAGCTTGGGACACAAATATAAAACTGACAGTACCAAGAATAAGGTGAAGAAAGACAACTACACCAATAACTATAAAGCAATGAGAAAGAGTAGTGATAGGGAATGTTGTTTAAAACAGGGTATATGGGAGTCTTATGGTGAGCCAGTCTAGGAAAGTGGAATGAGAAACCAATACTTTGATATTTGACATGTAAAAACTTAGCTAGATGCCCAAGTCTTGAAAGGTCCACCTGCCCTTGCAGTGTTCTATTTCCTTAAGGGATGGAACACTTCTCCTCTTTCTGTCCCACTTAAATGACCCATCCTCTGTCTCCATTTCTTCTGAATCCTGTGATAACACTCTTGGAAGGTCATCCAATGATTTCCCCAGGCAATTCTGCATGCCTTTCTCGCTATCAGGATTCTACAATGAGTATCTCTGTTTTAACTTTGATTCCCTGGGGCTTACCATAGGTCTCTGGCACCAAAAGTTATCTTTTGGAGTGAATGGATGAACAAATGACCAGTTAATGATAATATCAACACCCCTGAATAGTAAACAGTAAACAAGCTTAACTTATCTTTAATTGTTAGTCTCCTTTGATTGTTGATGTTGCTGCCCAGTTGGTTTCATAGCGGCCCTGTATAGAGTTTCTGAAAAGCAGCTGGTGGGTTTGACCCCTTACCTTGCGGTTAGCAGTTCATTGCTTATCTAGCAGCACTACACCAGGACTCCAGCATCCTTTGATAGTTGAGGAAAATAGATTTTGGGATTAGTTTACCAGATGTCACATAATTGCCAAGAAGAGAAGTATGTTCTCTAATCCAGATCTTCTGACCAAATTTTAGTTCCCTTTCTACCCTGTCCTTTTTTTCTATTGATTTCAAATAAGTACAATGAAATCTATGAGAGCTGGAACCCATGGGACCACCTTTTTTTTTTCTGAGTCTCTCACTTCTCTGTCTCTCTTTAGTAGGTGAAAATATTTGAGTTTTTCTCTTGGACAAGTTTTTGTCTTACATAATATTCCACATTCACAAGTAAAACAAAACTGTACACAGTTTTACTATCTAAGTGATTTATATAAGAATAACTCTTTTATTTTATCTCTTTCCTGGTTACAGTGTTTTTAAAAGAGTCTTTTCAATCTTCTCATTTAAAGAGGGGCACCGGGGCAGGGTAAGTGCAGGAAGAAAAAAAGGCAGCAGGCATGTTCATAGACAATGCTACTGCTACATCTTCCACCTATCTAAGAAGTTTGTTTTCAGTTGTTTTTCATTTCAATCTTCTGTGCAAGATTTCATTTAACCAACTGTTCCATAGTATTTAAAAACAAACAAGCAAACAAACAAAAAAGAGATTGCAAAGTCAAAATAGCTAGAGGGGGAGTGATGGGGAGGGATAACTTATTTTAGGGAGGAGCACTTTGGTTCCCTCATATCAAATGACATGAAGCTTTCATACTTTGCTTGATCTAAAATCAGATTTGAGATTGTATGTAACTCACACACACTAACTCACTCATGCCTGCATTCATAACCACACATTCACACCATACACATAAAATAGCAAGTCTGTCCAAAACTGTCCTGGGGAAAAAGGGTTGAAGTTAAAATTAACATTCCTTATAAGGAGTTATGGTATGGCACTATAAGATAATTACTAGACTGTGTGGTGCTGTGGGTTAATGCATCAGACTGCAAAGCCATTTGAGCTGCAAGGTTGGCGGTTCAAACTCACCAGCTACTCCTCGAAAACCCTATTCAGGATTGCTATGGGTCAGAACCAACTCAATGACACTTAACAACAACCATAAAGTTGGCAGTTCACATTTGCCAGCCACTCTGTGGAAACCCTATTCAGGCTATCTATGAGTTAGGACTGAGTCAGTGATACTTAACAGCAATAACAAAATGTTGTGGAAGCATAGCGGATTTTTCTTTGGGCTGCTAACAGCAAGGTCAGCAGTTTGAATCCACCAGCTGCTCCATGGGAGAAAGATGGTGTTTTCTGCTTCCATGAAGATTTACAGCCTTGGAAACACATTGAGTTAGAACCAACTCGACAGCACTAAACAAGAGGAGGCCCTGTTCTGAAAACTCAGTCAGTCATTTACTCATTCTAGCAACTCTATATGCTTAGGGGCTGCTGAATTGGTTCTGACTCATAGTGACCGTTTGCACAATAGAACCAAACACTAGCTGGCCCTGTGCCAGTCTCACATTTTATCCCATTGCTTCTGCCACTGTGTCAATCCATCTAATTGGGGTCTTCCTCTTTTATGCGGACCCTCCACTTTACTAAATGATGTCCTTCTACAGGGACTGGTCCCTCCTGATAACACGTCCAAAGCATGAAAGTGTTAGGCCCGCCATCCTGACTTTTAAGGAGAATTCTGGCTGTACTTCTTCCAACATCAATTTGCTTGTTCTCTGGCGGTCTATGGTACTTTCAATATGTTTCTCCAAACCATAATCCAAATGTAGTGATTCTTCTGCAGTTTTCCTTATTCATTGTCCAACATTCACATGCACATGAGACTATTAAAAATACCGTTATCTTGGATCAGGCATTCATTAGTCCTCAAACAGACAGCTTTCCTCTAACATTTTAAAAAGGTCTTGAACAGCAGATTTGCACAATGCACAATACATTGTTTGATTTCTTGATTTCTGCTTCCAAGAGTGTTGAGAATTGATTCAAGCAAAATGAAGTCTTAGACAACTTAACTCCTTTCACCATTTATTATTATATTATTATTTATTGATCCAATGGTGAAGGTATTTTCTTACATTGAGGTGCAATTCATAGTGAGGGCTGTAATCTTTGATTTTTATCAGAATAAGTAATTTAAGTTTTCTTCATTTTGGCCAAGCTAGGTTGTATCATCTGCATTTTGCAGGTTTTTAATATGTCTTTCTCCAACCTTGACTCCAAGTTCTTCATATAGTCTGTCTTCACAGATTATTTGCTCATCATACAGCTTGAATAAGTATAGTGAAAGGATATAAACCTGATGCACACTTTCCTGATTTTAAATCATTCAGTATCCCTTTGTTTTGTTCTAACCACTGCCTCTTGGTCTATGTACAGGTTCTGGGATGTCCATTCTTTGCAGTGTAATTCATTCATTGTTGTTGTTGTTATGTGCCGTAAAGCTGGTTCTGACCCATAGCGACCCTGTATAGGGTTTAGTTTGTTATAATGCAGATAGTTGAAAGACTTTGCATAGTCTGCGAAGCACATGTAAGCATCTGTCTGGTAATCTCTGCTTTCAGCCAAGATCCATCTGACATCAGCAATGATATCCCTAGTTCCATGCCCTTGTCAGACTCTGCCTTGGATTTCAGGCAGTTCATTTTTGATGTACTGTTGAAACCATTTTTTAATTATCTTCAGCAACATTTTACATAGATGTGATATTGTCTGATGATTTCTGTGTTCCATTGGGCACCTCTCTTTGGTATGGGCACAAATATGTATCTCTTTCAACTGGTTGGCCAGACAGGTGTCTTCCAAATTTCTTAAAATAGATGAGTGAGCACCTCCAGCGCTGCATTAGTCATTAGTTCGTTGTATTATGTCAATACCTGAAGCCTTGTTTTTCATTAATGCCTTGAGTGTGACTTATATTTCTTCCTTCAGTACTATTGGTTCCTGCAGTACTATTGGTTCCTGATTATATGCTACCTATTGAAATGGCTGAACAGTGACTCTGTGTATTCCTTACTTCTTTTTTTGCTGTCTGCATCGTTCAATATTTTGCCCAATATTGCAATTCCAGGCTTGAGTTTTTTTCTTCAGTTCTTTCAGCCTGAGAAATGCTGAACATGTCCTTCCCTGGGGTTTCTAACTTCAGGTCTTTGCACATCATTGGAATACTTAACTTTATCTTTTCGAGCTGCCTTTTGAAATGTTCTGCTCAGTTCTTTTACCTCCTTTCGTGTTTTAGCTTCTCTACGTAAGAGTAGAAATTATGATAAATATCAAAGAGCACAGCCTTCAGTATGGTTACACCTCAATGTAAAAAAACACAAAAATCCTCACTACTGGAACAATAAATAGAATCTTGGAGAAAAAACTGAAGTTGTCAAAGACTTCAGTTTACTTGAATCCACTGTCAACATTCATGGAAGCAGCAGTCAAGACATAAAACGAGGTGTTACATTAGGCAAATCGGCTGCACAAACCCTCTTTATAGTTTTTAAGAACAAAGATGTCAGTTTGAGGACTAAAG